AAAAAATCAAATTTTCATGAAAATTGTTCAAATAAAAGTTGTTTGTGATATCGATCTCTATCAGTTTTGTTTAATACATGATTTCTCTAAAATACTCCAATTTTTCTATTACGGTCCAGTAATAGAAAAATTGGAGTATTTTCGTTGACAATGAATATATATAAAAAAAAATGTTTCCGTATATTAATCCTTTATTTTTTTTTTTATTTTTTTTCATTAATTTAATATATTGTAAGGCACATCATTTATTATAACCCACCTTGCCCACTTTTAACAGAACTTTGGTGAGGATATAACAAGTATAATAAAACAAATTGAACAAATTAAACAAACACTATATAATAATTTTCTAATATGTCAGTCTTCCCAACATGTTTGCAAAATCTTTCTGACAGAGAGTGTGATAAAAAAGAATGATAAAATAGTGTTAATTTATTTCTTTTATAACTGACTAATTTTATCAAGTTTATGCTTATTCCACTTATTATCGCTATGTTAAAAAAGATTTATAAATGGTTTAATAAAATTCGTAATATACTCGCACGGACTTTGATTTTGGTTTAACTAGTTTTTAGTATTGTTTTAAAAGTACTCCTAAGAGCCGTTAAAGGATTTTCTCTTTTACTTTTAAAGCAGTTTTATAGCAGTCCTAAGGCTATGTCGCGGATTCAAAAGTTTTATAAGGTCCATTTGCACCACTGGTAGTTAAAAAATAAGCCAAGTTTAAAATGACATTTTTCCATTAACAATGTCATTTTAAGCTTCGCTTATTTCTTAACTACTAGCGGTGCGAATAGCCCTGTATATTAAAAAAGGGTTTTATGGTTATCTTGTATGAATCTAGTAAGGTTACTTGGGAACCAAAGCATTGTTTGAGGTATGCAGATGAGACATTTATATTCTGGAGCAACGGGAAAATAGGCCTTTAGAATTTCCTAAACCATCTTAAAAGTGTTCATCCTAAAGTCCAGTTCACCATGGAAATAGAATAAAACCAACAAATTCCTTTCCTAGATGTGTTAGTCAGCCGAGAAGACAATAAGCTAGGTCACAGAGTATTGTAACCTACCTCATCCAGGTACCTTAATAATTTATTAATTTCATTTATTAAATAAAATATTGCATTCCTATTAAATTCAAAATCCTTTATTGAACGAAAAATCTCTTAGATAATTAAATCTTATTTACAAAAATTAATAAATAATATCTATAAATCTGTGCGTAAGCGTTCCAATTTTCGTGCACGTGTCTGGGAACCCAGCCCAAAAACCGCCGTACAACATAAATTTTGTCACGAAATGGTAATCATTGAAACACTTAACGGACTTATTTTAAGTGCGTTTGAATAATAACGTTGTTTCAATGCACAAACTTTTCAAGGCAAGTACTAAATCTGCCAGCCCGTTTTCCACCCAGATATGTTTCCCACTAGAACCAAGACAAACTAATGTCACAAAAAGACATTAAAACGGGTAAAAAGACCCGAACCCAAAGGCCCGAGAAAGCTTTTATTTTATTATTTTACATTCGAGCAATTACTTTTTATTTGTATCCAGTTATATAGTCTGTACCTTTCCTTAAACGCTCTTCCTATGACATTTATCCTATCCCCCAAATGTGTCAACGTCTCGACGCCCAACATCCCGCCGTCCTACTTCCCTACCTTTCTATGTCCCAACGCTATCACTTTTAAACCACTTTGGTATTTTCTACCATTACATTCATCCCGACGCTTAACATCCAGACGTCCTGCTTCCCTGTCTTTCTACGTCTCGAGCGCTGTCACGTCTCGCACCTTATGTCTATCCCGACGCTCAGCGTCGCACAGCTCTGCTTCTCGATGCTTGAGGTCCTTGAATATTTCCTTCATAATGTCCTTGCGGACACCATTCATCGCGTTTTTGTTTCCTTCCCCCTTCCCCTTCAATTCGTCGCTGGGCTCCTCGACGCGGGGCGACGCTTGATGCTGCGACGTCCCTAGGCCGACGCCGTCACGGTGTTGGATAGAATTGGCACATGGTTTCTAGTATAGACGAATCTAATATTTGTATTTTTAATAGTGATTCAAAATATTTATGTAATTTTTTTGAGATACCACTGGGTTTCGTTTGAATAAGGGCCTAACATTTTCTTCAATATATTATCTATGTAACCAATAAACCACATGGCCTTCAGTCATTCACCCCGAAAGACAGTTAGGATAGACATCTAATTTCAAAGGGTCAATTTGAGTGTTTCAATAGGAATTATAAAAATCAATATTAAGACATATAGAGAGTTGTATTAAGTAATTTTAATAGAAATTATAAAAATCAATAATTTATAAATATACAGAGATGTGTATTTTGGATAAATTGTACAAACCGAGATGGTAAAATTTAACAGTAAGTTAGCCAACTAGTGAATACACTGTTTGTTTGCCTAAGGGGGACACCTATATGCTAAGCCACCCATTCTACTAGGTTTAAAATAAAGTATATGTGAAATCAACATCGTAAGATAACCAACAAACGAATTGACGCTGTTCGTTACTTCCGTTGGTCATCACCTCTATACTCGTCGAAATATTTACTTAAGAGGGTACAACCTGTGTATATCTAGAATAGAATCAAACTAAATAAGAATATAAACATCAACACAGTAGTTAACCGTCTAGCGAATTGACGCTGTTCGTTAACTCCGTTAGTTGCGAACCTAAATAAAATATATCTTGGCAGAAAATGAACGTAGTCTGCGTTTGGACGTAAATAGTTCATATTAAGTGTAATATAGTTTACTAATTATTGCATCACTTTTAAAGTATGAAAAATAAAAGATCATTTCTACTAATAGAGAAAAATGGCAAAATACAATAAGTATAGAATATAAGACTAAAATAAAATAAACTTGTTAGTTAAATTATAACTTTTTTATAGGGTAAAAGAACGATGAAATGGGGTACCGGATGGGTGGGCCGTTACAGTATACAGAGAGAAGATATACACTGATCGACACCTACAATACAATATGGATCCAAACATCATCCAAAACAGATGCACACAAAAATCCGACCTTCTAGCAACATCAATATATTACTCGACTAGACTGCACTTGGAGGCTATATGAATACACAAACAAGAAAAGAACTTCAATAGAAAGGAAGAAAAAAACAACAGTACCTAGAATCTGGCAACGCAAAAGAAGAGCTCGCAGACACGCATATAAATACCACACTTTACGAAAGGATTTAACGTTATGCTTGTGTCACCAATCCATAAATTTTCGATTGGTAATTTCGTACCTTTCTTTGGATTCTAACGGTAACAAATTGTGTGGCAGCTTTTTTTAAAATATCTGGCGGAGTGCTCATAATTTCATTACTTTCACTACTAACAAACATATTCGTAGGTAAAGTTGAGAAAATGTTTAAATACAATAACATTTTGTTACAAAAAAAAAAACAATATAAATGACATGACGTTTATTTTCATATTGAAAAATTGTATGATGTGTTGCCAACAATTAGGGGCATTACTCTTTTATATGATCTCATTACGTGCATGTTCAAGGAATGTTTACAGTGCGATTTTTAACGTTTACTGACAAGGGCGTAAAAAAAAATTAATATTAGAAATTTACAATATATTAATTTTGACTTTTAGCGTGGTCAGATCATCAAAAATTCTTATTTTCTTTTAAATTGTACTAATAATTTCTATTTTATGAGAAGGTACTTACTGCGCGAAAAATAGATTGTCTTAAGTCATTTTTCTAACAAAACTTAAACAAAATCACATCACAAATTGTTTATGTCTTATACTCATAGGGTAAAAATATGTAGGGATTAGTATTTTTAGATTCTATAAACTTTTACCGATTTTGTTAGTAATAAAACACATGTAGTAATTATAAAAAAACACATTCGAAAGAAAATTGGAATGTTTATCACAGATTTGTACATTTTATTTATACGAGTAGTAACCTTAAATATATTGTGTTATTATTAAAAGTATTGTAGTATGTAAAATTTGAATGTTCAACTTGACCAAAAAATATCATAGTCCTGTAATAATAATAAAGAAAGAATCTATGAAATTAAAATTATTCAGTAACCAATAAATTTTTGTTTTCTATTGTTACAAATCATCAAAGCATCAGTATATTTAAATAAATTTAATAACAAGTATTGTTTTTGAAGTAAATAGTGAATAACACACAATTTGCTAGTACACACACAATTAGCTATTTCAACAGTTTTTATTTGAGGGTGGCTTATCTGCCGGCAACAATGTATGTTTCGCAATTGAGTCACCATCAACTAAAAATTATAGTATAATAAAAAATATAACTTTATTAATAAGAAAATATACAATATGCTTGTTAAAACAATAACCTTTATCAATATTAATATTTTTTATTTTTCACGACGGTCCAGAATTAATTTTAAATTTAATAGAAATTTTGACGTTTTATGTCGCAATTTTTTGAATATTTACCAATGTTAAATTATTGTATTGCAGAATAATTATTTAAAGTTTTTAGTGATGGTCATCATTATTTGCTATTTATGAACAATGACCACAAAATAAAGAAATCTATCTTTTGTCTTTGATAAAAATTTTGTTCTCGAAAATATACATTTAAAAAAAATTAAAGACAGTCTTCTGGGCAATACGACGTGTACTGAAACTCTGACTGAAACCTAAAAATACCAATTTAACGCCGCATTTTATTTTTGACATTAAGAATACACCTACGTCTATTAACTAGAAGTTACTGAAAACAGTTGAAAACCTCCATTGTGACATTAAAAATAATTTAGAACTAAATATTTTGTAGCAATATTATACAAAAATCTACTTTATTTTATCTAGTTATAGGCAAAAATAAACATCTATAATTTTTTATTTTCTATCATAAAAATAGCTAGATTTGAGCAGTTGAATATCATCTACCATTTTTAAAAAGTTTGTAGTCAACATTTTTATTTATAATTTTTAACAAACATTATTTTACGTTACCTTAGTATAAATAAACTAGTCATACAAACAATTTTACAGAAACACTTTACTACACTCATTTTTTGTATTTGTTTAATTTGTATCGACATTTAATTGATTCGTGAGGTTAACTGTAATATCTGTGTTATCTCAATGTTGTAGTAAACTTCAAGAATAGATATTACACAATTGTTTAAAAAGATTTTTTGTTATATTAATTAGGCCAAGTGACAAGGCTGAATCGCGATAATATTTACTAAGAATGAAAAATTATTATAAATTGAACATCATCCGTGTCGATGATTTTGAGAGCATCTGCCTGTTAAGTTTTCAGCAAGCTTGGATAATGTTTTAGGGGTTAAAGATTTTTTTCTGTATAAATTCATTGTTAAAAAGTTGGAGGTGACTGAAGGAGGAAACGCATTAGGCAGTTGCGATATAAAATATGTGAAGAAACTTCACTGTGCGCACTCGAGACTAGCACAGTCAGCGATGCGACGGAACCGCGATTGCCTAATGCATTCCTATCTTAACCGACAATTTGATTTTAATTTCCTAAACTAATGAAAAACGTTTCTCAGACTTTATAAACATATTATAACAAAATATATAAAAACAAGATATGGTTTAATCTTTCACATAGTTTATCTCCAATGGGTTATGGGCCCAGATAAGTCAAATAAATACTGAAGTAACACAAGGGAGTTTGTAAAAGCAAGGCTCATATAGGAATCAATAAAAATTAAGAAAACCACTAGAAGGAGATAAAACAATAAAGGTATATTTGGATATTTGCGACAGGAAGGGCTACAGATCTACATATTGCTGGTTCAGAAATTCAAATAATTGAAGTAGGTACAAATTTTGAAAAAGACAGAAAATTAATAAACGAATTTTAAAAAAGGCTCATCTGCATCACAAAGAGTATATAGAGCGGATGACGGAATCTCATTTATTGCCATGAACTATCTAAATAATAAAAATATATAAAATGATAGATTTATTCTAGAAAAGTTTCATGTCAACAAGTATTAAAAGTAATTAAAAAAAAAAAACGACTGCAGATGCCGTCACCACATCTTAACCAAATTTAACTAACAAAAAAATAATCATAAAAATCGGATACGGTGGAAAAGAATTATCGATAAAGATACATAAAAAATGAAGAGTTTGAGGATTTTTCTCATCGACTTCATTATTAGATTTTAACCAAATTAATATGGGACCACCCTTGAAGTACCCCCTTTCTAACAAAAAAGAATCATTGAAATTGGAAACCATGTTAAAGAATTATCGCTGAACATACATAACAAAAAAATATTACGATGAATTGAGAACCTTCTCCTTTTTTGAAGTCGGTTAACAAGTAATAGAAATTAAAAATTTAAAAAAACCGACTTTAAAAACGTGCAGATCCCATGTGGATCACCCCTGATGTACCCCCTTACTATCAAAAAAAAATAATCATATAAATCGGACAAGGTGATAAAGCATTATCGCTAAACATACATAAAAAATTAAGAGTTTGAGGATTTTCTCATGGACCCAATTATTAGATTTTTACCAAATTTATATGGGACCACCCCTGAAGTACCCCCTTTCTAACAAAAAAAGAATCATTGAAATCGGACACCCTGTTAAAGAATTATCGCTGAACATACATAAAAAAAAAATATCGCGACGAATTGAGAACCTCCTCCTTTTTTGAAGTCGGTTAAAAATAGCAAATTACATTGCAAATGATGATATAGTGGTGTCAAAAAAGAGATTATAAAAGCAAAATATGAAGATAAAATAAATTTTAAGTCCAGCCCTCATGGTGAAAAACATACCTCATAACCTTTTATCAGTCGGCAAGTTATTTAGTGAAGATAAAGTACAATTCAAAGCAAACCGTTTTAAAATAAAATGCAAGAAGCAAAACAAAAAGGAAACTTACGTGCAATTAATAGAACCTAAAAATATAAGTAATTTGTAAAAAGAAAGTGTAAAATCAGGGCAGATCTAAGGCACAGAAAACTAAGGGTTTTAAAAAAATATGGTATGAATATATTGGATAAACCATCTTCCAAAGAAAGAGGTGAAAGCTAAATTGAAAGTAAAAGCACACTAAGAAGTTTTGTCACAAAAACGAAAAGGTCAAAAGTAATATTTGATCTCGTTCATCATGATCTTTTAAAGCCAATAAATCCCCCTGTTGTTGATGGTAAAAAATATTTCCAGATCCTCGTAAACGATTTTCACACTTTATTATATTTAAGCTCTTAAAATTGAAGAATGAAGCAGAGTAGAATATAATAGACCTTATGCAATGTATAAAAACAACCGTTAAACCAAAAGAATAACAGTCGATAATAAAGGTGAATTTTCTTCGAATCAGTTTAAGAATTTCTGCAGAATAAAGGGAATTAAAATACAATATACTCAAACCTACACTCCACAACAAAATTGCACTTCTGAACGCATGAATAGGAATTTGTTGGAAAGAATAATGGTCAAGATAGATGAAACAAATACGAGTATGCTTACTTTTCTGTAGGGAAAAGTCTTCGTTGTTCAGTGTATGAGTTAAAGATATGTCCTATCAGTGCTATACAGTACCAGTATAGTATATTAAAGAAATTTATCATGGTAATAATGACCTTTCAAAATTAAGACTTTTTGGTTCAAAAGCATTGGTGGTAACAATACAAAAGCCTAAAAAATTTAATCTAAGTGCAAAGCCAATGCTAATGATATGCTACTGCAGTAGTAGCTATAGGAATTATGAAAATTTTACTAAAAGATATAGTCATTGAAAACATACTGAAAAACACAGTCATACGGAATGAAAAATAAATGGAAAAGGAAGAGATTGAAGAACTAGAAAAAATTAAAGGAAGTACGTCTACTACTAAATCTGGTAGACACATTAATAGACCTACATATTTAGATAAATACGAAGTTCACTCAGCATATTGCCTTTTAACCAAATGTGGAGATCCTGTAAGCTGCAAAGAAGCAGAAGAAATTGAAGGTTGGAGGGAAGCAGTGGAAAATGAAATAAATTATTTCTAAAAATTTAAAACATGAATTCCAATAGAGTTACCAAACGATGCCAAAGCTATCTATACCAAGTGTATTTTTAAAACTAAAGATGATGTTACGAGAAAGGCTCAACATGTGGCTAAGAGCTTTCAAGTTAAAGAGGAGAATTCACTTAACTATGTATACTCTTCTATAGCAACAATATCCTCCTTAAGATTGTTACTAAAAAAGTAACTTTCGTGCAATCACTTTAAAAAGAAGAATTTATTTCATCATACAAATGCGAATCATTTGCTTAAAATAAATAATTGTTGGCTCAATGACAAATGACTGAGATTTTCAAACATTTAATTACAATTTTTTACTGGATTCAAATAAGCGCCCAAATAAAGAAGTACAGCGTTTTAACGTACCTAATAAGACTATACCATTATTTATGAAAAATTATTTATCTATGTATTCTGACTTAATATAAAAAAGAATTGACAAATTTACCATTATACAAGAAAAATTCGTTTTATGATATATCAGAAAAGAACTAAATAATGGGAACTTTATGCTAACAAAAAATTTGTCTTACATTATAATTACTTGCTATCAGATAATGAGATATTTATGAGATAGCTAAAAACAAAGTTTTTTTAGTTTCACATTTACTTTGTTTTTTTTTGCTGGCAAACAACTTTAATCAATTCTATTTTTTACATGTTATCAATCTGTCTGTTAAAAACTTTTCTTATTAGTCTGATCCCAATCCTTTGAAAATAATGTAAAGATAAATAAAGGCCATTTACTATCTTCAATTTTTTTCTTTCTATTTACAATATTGACTCGTTTGTCCTTTGGAAAAAAGAATATGTTTCATAGTTTCAATAATTTTCATAGTACCCAATAAGATAAATATAAATTATACAGAATGAGGTTTCGAAAGTGAAACAAATTAAATATCTTGCTTAGATCATGAAAATCATCTGAATATATTTCCTACTTCATTAAAATTAATTGGTCTAATATTGATGGCCATGGTTTAATATTAAAAGTAAATACTATGCCTTAGGTAGATCTTTCTGTAGCTACTCGCAATTCTGGTGGGGTATATTCAAGTTAAATATATTTTTAAGAGGCAATTTTATTGTATATACAAAATACCAGTCAATATTTAACTGGCAAAATAAATACCTAAATGTGAGATTGAATTAACTTGTTATATTGCCTAGCAACGGTCTTATAGGTATCTTCCTTAAAAAATGTATCAAACTATGATATAAATTAATTAATAAAGAACTTTTATAAAATTACTAATTGTAGATTGTGAATAAAACTCATTATATCCTGGCGTCTGTAGACTCGTACCTCGCCAATCTAACTTCAAACTTGACTGTAACATATACTATGTAATACACTATGTAATATACTATGTAATATACTATTTAATATACTATGTAATATACTATGTAATATACTATGTAATACACTATGTAATATACTATGTAATACACTATGTAATATACTATGTAATATACTATGTAATATACTATGTAATATACTATGTAATATACTACGTAATTAACTATGTATGTAATATACTATTAAATCGTGGTGAAAATTACATATTTCCTTTTATTATTTTTAAAAGAAAACTAATTTTTAAAAAAATCAACCAGCGCTTTTCTTGAGAGATTAGTTTAAATTTATAAATATTACAATGGCAAAAAAGACTGTATTTCAACAAGGGAACAAAATCTTAATTCTCAAATGTGACAAATTTAAAAAATTAAATTAAAGAAACAGATAAAAACTCAAATTCCGTGTCAGCAAGACTAATTTTTGAAGAACTTTATTTATATACATGCGGTTTGTTTTCCACTCTCTCCTATGACAGGATAGAAAATTTGGTATATTTAATAAAAATAGGTATTTTCGTTATCGATGTTGACTTACGACATCTACTGCGTTCGGCCTACTAACTATTCTATAAACATTTTCCAAATGTTTCTCTCATTAAAATATTTTCGACGAAGACGTACTATTATTCGTGCCTAGGATATAGTCGAGAGCCATTTTTATTGGACCACTCGTACATAAATATAATCGATTTCAAGGTTGGTTTCCAGACATTTCTCCAATAAATTTGTTATGGTCCATTAAACAAATGAATGACCAGAAATCACAATTTGAGCCCGAGCACTATGTTTCATTGTCGATGTAAGGTACTCGGACTATATATAATTTTCTTTTATTGCATTCCGATCATTCGAAGTCGTTGAGTTTTTACTCTTCGGCCTCATAAACAGGAAGTTGGGGTCAATGATGTGTTTAAAATGAAAGGACCAAAATAAATAAAATTTCGGAACATACTTTTAGTAAAATATTTGTACTCCTCTAATTATTATTAAGTTGAATGATTTTTTAGAATTATACTGAAATACCTCATAATAAATAGTTTTTAGCTTCTGGCACCTGTCGTTTACGAAAGAAGTGGTAAGAGAATTACAGCGGATTTGCGCTGTGAATTCCCAGGAAGTATTCAGGGCAGTAGCTCTTATAGCGTTTTACTTTGGAATGTTCATTGTAATCTGAGTGTATTCTTACTTTTTTCTTTTCAATTTTTAGAAACAAGGACACAAATATACTCAGTGTGTACTGCCAGTGCCAATGTAAAACGCAATTAAATAGAAAAAAAAATTTTGCATGATATTTGTAATTTAAAGCAAGCTATTATCATGCTGGTTTTGGGAATCTCAATTTATTTCAACTTATATAACTGTTAACATTAACGTATAACGTCATTCATAAAACTGACTGTCCAGTGCTGCCAGACTACAAATGGATTAGTGTGTAGCACAGGAGGTCTAAAGGATGTAAAACTAAAAAAAAAAAAACCTTTATAGAACCTTCCCGAACGTCTAGATGATTCTTGACGTGGAATGACATTTCTCAAATATTCTCCCTTCTTCTTTTACTCGCACCTTTACTTATGACGACCATAACACACTGTAGGGTGATGGGTAACATTGCTCGCCCCTTTCTAGTTATTCGTCCCGAATAAATTGAATAATGGGATCTAGTTGGAGCTAACGGAGAGGATTTGGACGACGGTATGACACTAATTTTCCTTTGCAAACTACCTTGGATTTGCTTCACGCTGAGAGCCGAATGCGGTCAGTTGTTTTTCTCAGGAACAGTATAGGGGCCTTCCCAGTTTCGTTGCAGTTTCTGACAGAGACCTCCTCAGCGCTTGGGATTGCACAGCCATACTGGGTCGCCACTCTTACAATGTTTCTCGGTAGCACGCATCTCGATTCTAGCTTCTCCTTTGTCGCTATTCAGACATTCCCGAGCAAATCCCTAGACCTTTATTCTACCATTGCATACATCACATTGTTTACACCAATCCGCTACATTTTGTCGGCAATTGACCCAAAAATTCTTTCCTGAACTCGTACCAGTGTCCTTTCAGTACCAAAATGTCCTCTTGAACGCTGCTATGAAGCTCCTTCAACATACTTCTGACATGTGATTTTGGCAGTACCACTTGGCAAACTATGTGTACTCTAGTTCCGATGCAATATGCCATCGTGACGATTCAGGAAATCACACTGAGTCCAGTATACTTTATTAGCTCCACTGTATTTATCTATCTATTGCCAATTAGATGTGACTTTATGTTTAAGCCATTCTCAGACAACCTTTAAGTCATTGTATTTCTTCTGTCCCTTTCTCAGGCTTTCAATAGTGATTTCTTCTTCGTCACCCTTCGGTTTATTAGTGTTTGTCCGAAAAGTAACTTTATCAACCGGTTTCTCTCGTTCTCCGAGCCCTTTACTGTACCGGTATTCTCGTTCTAAACAGGATCGCCTAAAGAGAATGTCTATGTTCCTATGGAGACGGCCTCTGCGATGCTTTATTCCCTGGTTATTGCTAGAAAGCCGGCTAGATTTGGGTAAATGACTATTCCGAAACGCATAGCTGCTGTAATTATTTCTTGTTAAACTTCGTGGGCTCCGGTAGATTGTTCTATGTGAGTTTTGGGACTCATTTCAGGATTCTTAATTTATAGAACGAATCCCTGCTTCTTCAGGTCCTTTGAAGGTGCCCGATTCTTCCGCAATTAAAGCATCTTCTGCTTCCATTTTGGCTGTTTCGTTGCATATTTTGCAGGATATTTATTATTTGTGATAAGGGAGGTTGTGAAATAGTATAAGTATTAGCCTCCTTATTTCCTATGCTTTAATTTTTCTCACTCTTGCTTAAGAAAATCTGCATAGGAGTTTTACCGCTTCATATTCCTGGGCAGCAAGTAGTTTCTCCCTTAGCGTCTTGTGATGTTGTAGACAAAGCGCTTGTGCATTTCCATAGCTTGTATTTCATCAACGAATGCCTGTATTCTAATTTGTTCTTGGAAATCTTTGGGTGCCTGTGGGTGGGCCTAATGTCGGTCTCAAATGTCTGTAGATTCTCATTATGTTTCTGACTATGGGCCTTAAGCTGGCTTTGGAATACCCGTTTCAAATTCTGCTGGCCATATCCTGTCTTGGATGAGAGACGAATGACAATGTTCTTTTTGGGGAAGTAACTGTAAAACGGTTGCTGCTTCTCCTCGCAACGACACTATCTCTTTTCCGCCCAGCCATTTGTTTTAGATGCAGCTTTAAATTTGATACGTTTCTCATGTTGTCTGATCTGATATGGCTTGATTCGGTTATAGGTGAGAACGAGGTAGTGTCTGCAGTTTCTCTGTTGCTAGGCTACGAATTCTTTTTTTTTGTTGTTATCGGCCATCAACTGCCACGGTTATTAGCCTCGTGTTCTGTGTAGGCTTTATTACAGTTTCCCAGCACCACTTTAGAAACAGCACTGTTAATTGGTACCCAACAGTGAATGGTCCAGTGGATTTCCAACTCAACTAGTTCATTTATAATTTGCCTTTTTAACTCTACTCTAGCCGTTTCTTGTTGTTTTAAATTAGTTTTTTTAAATATCTTTTTGTGATGCTAAGAGATGGACTGTTTAGCTGGCCTAGCTCTTGTCTAAAGTTTTTTTGAATTTGTACCAAGCCATTTAGAATTTTCACGTCTGCTTTTCTATGCCCTTTGTCCTTCTCCTCTCCTGATCTTTCTCTCTTCTTTTATTTCTCTCTTCTCTTCTCTTCTCTTCTCTTCTCTGTCCTTCCGGCGCCTTTCCTTTTCCTTTTCTCGCCTTACTCTCTCCTCTTCCATCTTTGAAAAACATGCTAGCGCGCCTGAGGTATCCATATCTGTTTCGTGCGCAGAAGATTTATTATTTACCATGAGTAGAATGCTTAGGTAGCTTTTATTTTATATCCCAATGCTTTCACCAATGTTACACTGGTTTTTAGTATTCGGATTTATTTCAACTTTTACAACTTATAACGTCTGTCATAAGGCTGACTGTGTGACGTCAGGATCACCGACATATATATAGCCTAATTTAACCTTCTAGAACATTCCCGTACGTTCGGATGTTTCTTAAAATGGAACGACATTTCTCGACATTTTTCAAATATGCTCCTTTCTTCTTTTACTCACACCTTTACTTATGACGACCGCAGGACACTGTAGTGTGATGTGTGACACCATATTAGATTTAATTGAAAATGTAACTAATAAACAACTACATAATATATGAAAAGAAGTGTTGAATATTTTAAATCCATACTCTTAATAAATTATTTAGTTGTAATGCGTTCCAGGTAACATAGAAGATAGGGTTCAAAATGGAAGTATTTAAATGGAACCAAAACTAACGTAACGGCTGCGTGCACGAAGCTTGGATCGACAAAGAAAAAATTGTAGACGGCCGGGATGGTGCACTGGGGCTTCCGTGAGATGATTCGTTCATAATTTAGACTCTCATTTCATACGATATACTATATATACTACATGGATATCCTGTAAATAAAATATTTATTGGGTACGGAATCAAGATTGAACGACTCAACACGTCTTCTACGGCGATATAGACTTCTATCACGTCTGTCAAGAAACTAATAAACTCGTATGCCGCGAGAGGTCAGAAAACGAGGAGTACTCAACAAGTACTACTCGGAAGGAGGGAAGTAGAGGATTGTTCCTAGCTTAGCACGCCGGAAAGAACTGTCAGTTAACAAAAAAGGTAAAAGGTAAAGAATGTTTATTTTATTCTTCCGGTTGGGATCAGGCCGCTACATGCATTCCTATCCTCTACAGCCACACAGAAAGTATTAGTAATTAGAATTCTGTGGGAGAGTAGTAAAAGAAATGATGGTAGGTATTTAATAATATTAATAATAATAAATCGTTTATTGTTTACCTCATAAATTAAATATACATCACAGATAAATATTAAAGCCTATTATTAACAATGGTAAACAAAGGAGTGGTGATAGGTCTACTGACCAATTTTTCCTCACCATCCTTTAACAAAAAAAAAATACATACATATGTAAATTATATTCCACTACATCTTCACTATACCCTTACCAGACCAAAATAATTAAAAAATGAGGATGAATTAAAATTAAAAAAAAGAAATGAAATTATAAATTTAAAGTTAAGTTACTTATAAATTTAAAGTTAAATTACTATTAACCAAAAAGAATTTTTTTTTGAGAATTTTTGAATACATTAATCGATAAAGAAAAAGTTGGCATATCCAAAAAATTACCAGCTAGTAAAATCTGATATGTAAAGGCAGACTCTTTGTTATGAGGAGGAATAGCAATTTGATTTTTTGTACGTAAGTTCAAATTATGAATGTCCGTTCAAAATTTAATTTTGTTGTATAAGTACGGGGACTTTTCGTTTTTAAAATTTTATAGAAAAAGCAATTGGAGTGAAGCTTTCTACGGTTATACATGCTTGCTAACCTATTTTCTTCAGTTTATAAGAAATTCTATTTCTTCTCCGAATGCGATAAATTAATAGTAAGCATGAATTTTTGAACTTTTTGAATACGGTATACATCCGATTTTCTGAGGAAAGGACTTTACTGACCCAGAATTTGTCCATGGCTAAAAATTTCATAGCAGATCAAACGGCAGTGGGGATCGAATCCACTACTTTCCAAATACGTGGACGATGCGTTGTCGTAGAGTCACATGGATTTTTTTTAATATTTATTTCTCAAGGTTCTGTTTTACATTTATTAGGATATTGTATTTTCTTGATATTTTGCTGTAGGAATTGTCCTTCGTTTTAGGGTGCTTACAATAAGTAACCTAGCAGTAGCTATTTCCTAATTTCCTAGAGTTTTTGACGCGTAAGACTTGTGTGGTAAGTTGAGTTCTCAATTAGGAATCTCAAATATTGCTATTTCCATTTTTATTATAAAGGAAATGGAAAATATGATTTAGGTTAGGGAAACCACGAAAACCCAAATTACATTTCCACGGTTTTTCTTGAGTTGTTTGTGTGTGTGTGTGTGTGTGTGTGTGTGTGTGTGTGTGTGTGTGTGTGTGTGTGTGCGTGTGCGTGTGCTTGTGCGTGTGCTTGTGCGTGTGCTTGTGCGTGTGCTTGTGCGTGTGCGTGCGTGTGCGTGTGCGTGTGCTTGTGCGTGTGCTTGTGCGTGTGCTTGTGCGTGTGCGTGTGTGTGTGTGTGTGTGCGTGCGTGTGCGTGTGCGTGCGCGTCTGCGTCTGACCAATTTTGTATACAAAAATCCAATTACAAGCATTGCCTATGTTTTGTAAACAGTTAACTTAACTTAGGTACCAGTTTTCCTACGATTAATGAATAATGTATCTGCTTTAATAACCACATATATTTACCATTAGTTATCTTTAACTTATGGTTAAAAAACATTCACTTACGGCTTGTGATACCTTATTTACGTTAACTTGTTATTATTTTTACATTGTATTTTGTATTGGACGGTCACAGCTCATAGGCAGGGCAGCTTAGCTCGAGGTAATAGACCTTTTTCATAGGAGAAGTGTAGGTATAAATCAATGCAAAGTATTAAATATTTTTCACGAGTGTAATAAAAACTATGCTATTTTAAGTAAAATAATAATACTATCCCTGTTCATTTCCTTACAACCCCAGTACAGAGTTTATCTAGGGTAAGGACGTCTATTAGTGTTATTATTTGTCATTATTATTATTATTATTATTATGTATGTACCTTATATATTTTTGATACATTCATCGTGTAATTTTGACTATTATATTTTTTAACTTTATATATTGTCTCTTTTCATATTCTTATAAAAGTTGATATTATTATAATACAACTGAGTTCTCAATTTTTTATAAATTTCATTAGTACCTATAGCCTATTGAGGCACCAATAAAGGTTTATAAAATCTAATAATTTTTGCATAATAATAATGATAAACAATGTTTTAAAGCCTATAAATAATTCAAGATTATAAATACATATACAGGGTGTGCCAATAAAAACTCTCAGACCAAATATTTTGGTAAGTACTAGAGATATTTTAATTCTGTAAAAGATATAAATTAATTTTAAATAGGTCAATATGTAGATGGCGCTACGCTCAATAATTTTTTTTTTTCGATGGAAGGATCTTTCTGGTAAAAATGCATTTTTAAGTAAATTTTGTTCTATGAACTAATTCGATAAATCTAGCCATTTTTGATATACAGAGTGGGTCATTCAAAGCAGTTTTATCCTGTTTTTCGGCATTAATCATTGGATTTTTAGAAAATACTAAAACATGTCGATTTTTGTTCCACTTCTCCAACCCCTTAATTTTAAATAAGGAATGTACCATGTACGGCACATCATTAAAAAGGTAATTTTATGGAGAAGACAGAAATATGACAATTTATTGCGATACTTTTAATTTTAGTGCCCTCTATCGGGATAAAAAAATCTGTAACGTATTATAAAGTGTGACACTTCATTAGAAAGCTAATTTAATTACTGATTCAATACACCACATAACATTAATATAAATATTTCCATTTTGCACTTGCAACAAAATAAATTTAGCAATAATGTTTAAAATGACTATTTTTCATACTATTGCAAGTGCAATATGGAGGATATTTATATTAATGTTATGTGGTACATTGAATTAGTAATTAGATTTGTTTTCAAATAAGGTGCCACACTTTAAAATACGTAGTTTTTTTATCCCGATAGAGGCCGGTATAATTAAAAGTATCGCAATGAACAGTCATATTTCTAAATTCCCCATAAAATTACCTTTTTAATGATGTACTACAAATTGTAGTATTACAATCTATAATACGTAGTAGTTTTTTATTCCACTAGAGGGCGATGAAATTTAAGTAACGCAATGCACAGAAATATTTCTGAATCCCCCATTAAATTACCTTTTTAATGATGTGCCATACATGGTATATTAACTATTTAAAATTAAGGCGTGGAGAAGTGCAAGGGAGGGGGTTGACACATGACAGATGTCTGTATTGTAAAAATGTTTTTGATATTGAATAAAAATCGACCTGTTTTAGCATTTTCTTAAAATCCAATGAATAATTCTGAAAAACAGGATGAAACTGCTTTAAGTGACCCACTATGTAGATCAAAAATGGCTAGATATATAGAATTAGTTCACTGAACAAAATATGCTTAAAATACATTTTTTACAAGATGCGCTACACAAGAAAGATCCTTCCATCGAAAAAAAAAAAAATATTGAGCGCAGCGCCATCTACATATTGACCTATTTAAAATCAATTTATATCTAAAACTGAAGCTCTCTTAGTGCTCTGTGAACTGGCTTTTACAGAATTAAAATATCTCTATTACCTACCAAAATATCCGGCCTAGAAGTTTTTATTGGTACACCCTGTATACCACTCACTGAAACAAAAATCACTTATCACAAGGCAAACAGTTAACTAGCGGAAAAAACAAAACCAATTAATAGCGTAAAATGTACCCATAGTAAGAAACTAATGTACAGTAAGTACAAGTAAATAGTTTACTAACTGTAGGTCATCTCAAAAGTAATTAAACGATTCACTAACCACCAGTAACTAATTTCAGAAATCTTGTTTTACTTACCATACGTAAACATTTTACCTGCCCCATATAGTATACAACTTTTTAATTGCGGTAAATAAAAGTTCGCCAACGGTTAGTAAATTTTTTTTCGTGTACACAAACACACTAATTCAATATTGTGTATAATGCATTTTATTTTGATACATTTTGGCATGCTAAAGTATCTAATCAATATGCCTTCACATAACGCTATTAAAATTAACACGCTCAATTACATCATAACAATAATAATTCGTCATTGTTTCAGGTCCAAGGGTCAATCAGAATCGGCTGTTGGAATTTCGTGCCACCATCCAGGAATCCAATCAAGTGGGCCAGGAATTCCAAGTGAGGACCGCTACGTTGTGGCTGAAGGCTGATTACCAGTCTCAGCACCATCATGGCGACCAACCGAAATGTCGGACAACCGATATTTTCGTCTTCAAAGTCATATCGAGAGCCTTGCCGGAATCCGTTACGCTCAGTTCGAGGGTAAGCGAAACAGTTGTTGAAAATAATTACTTACAATCATGGTATAAATAATGTCCAACCTGATCTATAGTAGGGCGGGCAGGCCTTACATTTAAACCTCAGACGAAAAAAATTAAAGTATATACAAAAAATAAAAAATACTACAACAAAAATAAATAAAAATGAACAGAACAAAACAAAAAAACAGAAAATTAAAACAATAAACAAGCAAAAACAAGCAAAAAATTAAAAACAAGCAGAGAAACAAAAAATAGCAAAAAACGGGAGCAAGAAAAAACTTATTATAGCACTTACTTCTTGTTAATGTATTTAGAGAAATTTGTATTATTTCAATAAAATGTAAATGTGAAATACTGTAAGGATAAAACTTAAAATAGTTATGAAAAATCACTCATATAGTTTATTATAAAATGCATGATAGCACAGTTTTTATGGCCAAGGTCTATATACGGGATAGTACAAAGCAGAAAAAATAGGTATTGATACCTTTTTATCTGAATTTTCACTAGATTTTGGTATGACCACCCCGAAAAATCTCGAATACAATATATTATAAAATGTAAATGAGCAAACCCTAAGGGATTACCCAATTATTCTATCTCAGTGACGGGAACACGAAATAACTTTAATTTAAAAAACAGTAAACTGTCAATATTAAGTACCCACATTTATTTTTATAAAAATGGTTTACTAGATATTAGATTAAGACATTTCCTTAAAATTTAATAATAAATGTACACACAATCAAATTTATATGATATACTAAAAAACACCTCTGCTGAAAAAATATTTTCTCATAAAACACTTATATTTCGTTTTCAAAAATACAGGTTGATTCCATATAAATTTGTTTGTATTTTGGGTACTAGCGGCTTATAAACCTATTACAATTATTATAAATATAGAGTTACATGCCTAAATAAATAAGTCTCGATACGGAGTCATCATTATCAGTTTCCTCACTTCCCACAGAAATATTAATTGGTTTTGTTTCCTCTATTAACATATCAAGTTACCAGAATTTCTCTTTCTCTGCTATGACATGTCTTCTAGCATTTTTCCAATTGTCCTGTGTAATTTTTGATATGGAGTCACATAATAGTAGACGAACATCTTGTTGTATTATTTCTCGCGACATATACCTTCATTTGAGCCCAGATTAGTTCAAAGAAGTTGAGTTCACAGTGATAAGGTGGTAACCGTAACATTTTACCTTCATATTGTTTTGCTAGATAATCTCCACTATTTTTATTTTGGTAAATGTTGTTTATATAACTACAATAGCTCTTTTATGAGTAATCCCTCTTTTCCCACTATTTTTTTGGTTATAAAGAGATTGGCCTATGTTTTCCAGGTTTGGGTATCATGATTTCAGCTACTTCCTTCAATTTGGAAGCATACTTTTGTTTGAATGAGTAATTAAATATTAAAGAAAGATTTAAATTATTAACTTAATAACTTTTAAAATAATAATATTGGTATTTCAAGTACTGTGTGATATTGCTTTGATAATGTCTTTGTTATTAGTCTAATCGAATATTAAAAAATAAAAATAAAAAATATACTGATTTATTCAGGTTAAACCAAATTTTCATATTTTCGAAGGTCAAAATGTTTTACTTCTTTTCGATGCATTAGGAGAAACTGAAGCAGAACAATAAATAAAAATCTGTTTTCCACTAGATGATCTTGTAGAGCAGATTCTTGCAAGGGTTTATTGAAATATTGGAAAGACTTACGATATTGTGAAATCATTCTCAAATGACAGTTCAGAGAAGGATTACGAAAGTAAAGGCACCAGAATTAATAGAAAGAATGACCAGAATTGAAACTACATCTATGATTTTTTTTGAGTATTGTTTTGAATCGCATCAATGTATTCAGTAAAAACTATAAAATGAAGACGCAGATATTGGATTATTCATCGATTTGGATATTTAGTTTTTTTTTATTTTATCTTCTAGTGAGAACTTATTAATCTATGAATGGGAGAATATATAGACGCTGATTGATAAGAGTAACTACACTACAACTTTTTGCTTGTACTAAAAAAGCGACGTTTAGTGCTAAGCATGATTTCAAAATAAACGTTTTCCTTACAATTGTCAATCAATTAATTTAATTAATATGAATCATATGACGGCCTGTTCCAAATTTTAGAGGTTCTTTTTAAAATGTTTCAAATCCCCTGTTGAAGAGATCTTGCACCTCAAAAAGTATTTGACACTAGAAGACAAAATAACATGCAAATATCAACAATATGTGTTATAGATCTGAATCTACTTGATATTTTATATAAAATTGATATAGTTTGAATTATTTACAAAACAATGGAGTAAGAAATTTTTGTTAGGAACATTCGTTCTCATGCTTATAACATACTTACGCCTTGAGTATGCCTAAAGAGTGTTGTACGATTTAGCAGTTTTATGAATTGAATCTGAATTCGATGTTATTTAACAATGTAATTAAAATTTTCATTAAGAATAATGTCAGACGGAAAGTGAGATGTGATAAGTTTATAATATGTATACATAGTTTCTGTTTTTATATTGCAATAACATTTTTGTTGATTATGTGATTCTAATATTCGTTTGCAAAGTTTCCGTATTCCTTATTTTAGACCCTATTTAAAGCCCATATGCACTGCATTAAAATTTAATCCAGATTTACAAATCCCGTTTAGATGACTATTGATTATTTTCTCTGCACCGGCTACGGATTAGATAATCTAGTTTAGTAATCTGACAATACTGGATTTTTATAAATTTCACAAAAAACAAAAAAGAAAACTACAGATTTGAGTTGGAGAAATGTATGTCAAAAGATACGAGGCCGTACACAAGCCTCTGCATTATCACTACATATCCACTTTTTCGTATTTTTATCCTCTCGTCTACTCTCACATCAATCGAACACACCACTCTTACTCTTTCCCTCTACATTGCCCTCTCTTCTCCACTCTTCCCACCCTAATAGCTCATAGAACTGATTCCTGGTATTCTTTTAATTTATTACTGTATGAGATAGTTCCTCCTAGAGGATATCACAAATCGGTTCTATTTACTACTATCCACCTTTCCCTTCCCACCTTTTTATAATTCGAGTTATTCCCTTCCATAAGCCATATAAAGTTATAATAGAACAAATAGAAGAGCCGGAAGTGGCAGGTACGATTCATATCTACACCGACGGTTCTAAAACAAAACAAGGTTCAGTATGTGGAATAGACACGAGATTCTTAAACCTAAACATAAAATGGGCTGTGAGCAATAGTGCCAGTGTAGTTAAAACAGAGATAACGGGGATTCTCATAGCAGCAAAAAAAAATAACCAGAGACAATATCACTGGAAGGAATATACTCATCTATACAGATAGCAGACAGGGTTAGTACTAGATAGTCACGAAGCTTTGGCGGAAATATCCATCAACAATGTGGTCACCCTAAGATGAATCAAAGGTCACGCCACATAGAAATGTTTTCGTCTTGCTGATTCACTAGCCAAGAAAACAGCCAACCAAATACTTTTTGGACCTGGCTCGACAAAATCGGCGGTGACCGACCTAACTAAAGAACATTCCCTTGTGAAATTCAATGAAATATGGGATAAAACAAGAAACTGCAGAGTTGCCAGGAAGCTCTTAAGTTATCCTGACAACACTGCAGCAAACAAATACTTGACTATGACTAGATAGAATCTGTGCCTAGTCACAGGCATTCTTACCGGTCATTGCCAAGTACGGACGCATCTTCATATTATGGGGCTGTCAGAATCCGCATTCTCCAGAGGGTGCGAACAAGAAGATAAGACCAACAAGCATATTCTTTACGATTGCTCGACGTTCTCATTTACTATAAGATTTGTGTTCGGCAAGTATCGGCTAATACTGGTCGATTAAATAGAAGCACCTGTTACCTTCTATTTAAACAATGGAGAAGGCTGTTGATAATTATATCAGAACAGAAGTCCTGGAGAGGGTGCCACTCCATCACAGCCAACACGCGTACCGAGCAGGAAGATCTACAGAAACTGCCCTGGTACAGTTGACTGATGTAATCCAGGATGCACTGACAAACAAAGAAACGGTCGTGTGTGCCTTCCTAGACATAGAAGGAGCTTTTGACAACACGCCACATGAATCTGTAAAAAGAGCACTTGCATACAGAGGAGTAGATAACATCACATCCAGATGGATGGCTCAGCTGTTATCTACGAGAACTGCAGAGACACAGATAGGACAGGACACCATCTCCATCTGCACAACCAGAGGATGTCCACAAGGAGGAGTTCTATCCCCACTAATGTGGAGCCTAATCGTAGACAAACTTCTATGCAGATTAACTGACCTCCGCATACCCTGTCAAGGTTATGCCGACGACATAGTCATATTTGCTAGTGGCAAGTTTAGTAATATCCTGTGTGATATAGTCCAACGAGGATTAGAACATACCAAAAGATGGTGCCGTGAAGTGGGACTTAGTATAAACCCTACAAAAACAACACTAGTAGCCTTTTCAAGGAAAAGAAAACTTAATCTCAAAACCGTTAAATTAGACGGGATAGATATAGAATGGAAAAATGAAGTCAAATATCTGAGCTTAATCCCTGGACAACAAACTTCTCTGGAACACACATGAAAAGGAAATAGTAAATAAGGCCACAAAAGTCCTAATGGTATGCAGAAACATTGCAGGTAGACGATGGGGATGTAACCCAAACATACTGCGATGGATGTATACTGCAATAGTGAGACCAATCATCACTTACGGGGCTTATAGCCTGGAGTAACAGAACTAGTTTAGTTACTACGAGAGCTAATATCTCAAAAGTACAAAGACTAGCCTGTGTTTGCATTACTGGTGCAATTAGAACCTGTCCTACGGCCGCAATGGAGGTGATCTTAAACCTCACCCCTCTACATTTGATGATAGAGAATGTGGCAAAAAGGACACGATATAGAATGATCAGGAACGGAGTAATCAGACGAAAGTCTACTT